CTTTAGAAAAGGACAGTTTCTCTGTCTGGAAGAATGTATCTATTCTTGTAGTTTTAGAAGTGGGTTGTTTATTGTTTGCCTGAGAATTTATAATGTACAAGTGCACATTTTTAAGGTAAATTTAAGGGTTCTGGACGTGGCTGTCTAAATTCAATAAAATGTGTCTAGAGATGGGTGTGGTTTCAGTTCTGGTTGCGGTGCTTCCCTACACATTTTATGGATTTGAACCCTTAAGGTAAAAAAAAAAAACCCAATGACTGACCACGCCAACTAGTAAACAAACTTTACATTCTAATCCCCGGCTGTATATCTCAATAGGGAAAGAAAAGGAAAACTTGGGGAAAGAAATTTTCCCAGACTCCATTGCTGATTTAAGACAGATATAACATGACAAAATTGTATTTTCATGTAAACCTCCTACAACAACAATTTATTTGTTTTTTAGAAACCCCTCAGCCTCTATCTCAGTTTTAAAATTATATGTGTGGAATACAAATACATTTTCTATAATTTCTTTGTTAATTCAGAACCAAATAAACATAATTTCCCATTCACTCCCAAACATATTTTTTTTTTAAATATTGAAAACAATGATGTTTATAACTTTTATAAAAAGTGACCAAAGTCTATTTAGGCATACAAGGCGTGAAGGTTACTGTGAATCATGACTATAGTGTACCCATCCTGAAATTGTCTGTAATCTATCCTCTATTAATTATATAATACTTAACACATATCCACCATTTGTACGGTGTCCTTAGATGTACATCATGCATTGTTCTTTTATGTGTTGTTTCTGCATAATCTTCTGTGGTAGAGTTTCCTCGTTATTTATTGTACTGATCACCGACTCGTATGCTATGTTTATATGCATGATGGGTTTTATTTGTGAACATGTTCATACGAACGTGCAGGTGTGTTCTACAGCACTAAAAAATTATTAGTTCCAGAAATGCATGTACTTGTCAAAACTTATAAAATGAACTATTCAATTTATTGACGTCTATCGCAGATAATAAGTTTTAACAGATACGGTTACAAAAATATGTTGATCAGAATCTAACGCACAAACCACGTCATTTGTACATTGTTAGGGTATTGTCGTTTATTTAATATATTAAGCATTGGAACACCCAGTAACTGTTTCAAAGGCTAGATTTATAGGCAACTCGTGACCATTTTGAGAACCACACCCATGTTGGAGTTAACTGTAAGCTAATTTTGTACCAGTTTTTGTATTTTAGAAGTCTTAACTTAAAGTTCAGTGAACTGCGAAGTGTCTGAGTAAGAACATCTATTCACATTTTCAGTGTGTGATGTAATTTGGCTTTGATTTGTAATTTGTAGAACGGTAGACTACGTAAAATGATGATGTTGTATTGTATATTGGATACAGGCTAATTACGCTGCATGGGTGAAGTAGCAGTGAATTGTTTGCTATTGTTGTCGACATGTAGTATGTGTAAAGTTTTTTTTTTAAATTACTGCCATTAATTGAGTGGTTATTGAAATGGGGTGTAGTGAAATTAACATCAGTCTGTATGTTGATAGCAGGTTTACTGCTCAACTGTACCATTGCATAGTAAGAGTAAATTATGTTGGATTGTACATCTGCACTAGCCAAGGCTTGATAAAAAACATTTCTTTTTTTTTTGAGGTTTGGGTTGACGGTCCGGATGAAGTATTTAAACTACACGGTGAAGCAAGGAAACAAATGTAAATGGTATTATTATACATCTTGTATTGAAACAATTTTTGCCATACAAGCCCTATCTGCATTTATTTCAAAACATATTTGCACTTGTTTCAACGTTTTCACTTATGTGGGGTGAACTACGTCACCAATATTTAACATGTTCCTGGCACTGACATTATATTCAAACATTTTCCTTTGTTTACATTGAACGCAGAAACTATGTTGTGCATGATTGTAAGAGAATCCCATCACTGAACGCAAACACTGTCACAGCAAAAAACAAATTTTTTGCTCTATTAGTACAAACGATGTACTAGTATATTAATATCATGAGAATACCATGGAAAGTATGCAAAATCCAGAGGATTAAAAAAAAAACTTTCTGTCAGATTTTTGTATTATCTGTAAATTTTGGTTGTTTTGTATGAAATTTATTTTTGCTGATTTTTGATGAAATGTAAACTATTAGGAAATAGGCATTATCATTGAATTTTATTTCGCAGTAAATGTAGCGAAGATAAATTCTAAGTGAAATTAAAGTACTTTACTGTACCAGAGTTGCGTCATTGTAAAACCTAATATGCAGTTAGCCTTTAGAATTATCGTAAGAGAATTAAATGATGGGAGTTTAACCCTGGGTACCAGTTCAGGGTTATTTATTGTGGAATGCCATTTTTGAGAAAAATAATCATGTTTCTGCTCATCGTATATTCCGTTAAAAATGTGTCCACAACAGCTTTTTTGACAGAATTTTTGAGAACATGAAAAATTAATTTAATTTTCATGAAAAATTGAATTAAAAGATCAATTAATGGCAATTTGAAACTAAAAATTGAAAATGTGTACAACAACCAGAAAACATATTTTTAATTTTTCTCCTGGGCCTTATGTGGGTATTTCTGCACTACCAATGACCACTAAATATTTCCTACTAGTTAGTTGGTTAATAACTACGACCAGTAAATAATTTTAGATAATATTGTAATTTTATCAGAACTAAAATGAAAATGTTGTAATTCACTGAAACGTGAGTATTTTTACAAAGTTAGTTATTGAATGGGTTGTGAAAAGGTACATCACTGTCAGGTTGACATACCTCATAGCCGTATCAATGTACTGATTCAACTTGTTGTTGCCCCTCTCCA